GCCAGGATGGCCAAACTTCATCTCTCATACTTCAGACATATTGTCAGGAGGGACCAGTCACTGGAGAAGGATATCATGTTTGGTAAATTGGAGGGTCAGAGAAAAAGAGAAAGACCCCCAACAAGATGGACTGGCCAGGTAGCAGCATCAATGGACTCAAGAGTGGCAAAAATAGTAAGGTGGGCCCAGGATCGGGCATTGTTTCGTTCTGCTGTGCATAGGGTTGCTGTGAGTTGGTACCAACTCGATGCCACCTAACAACAACAACAACAAACATCCCTAACTGTAGCGAATGATTGCATGGAATTTCATTACATGGTGAACTCTGACAATTCATTTAGATAACGACTGGCATAGCAACCTCTGAAAAAAGAATCAATCTTAAGAGTCCTTTTCTGAACAATTAATCACCCTCTTAATCAGAATCAAGGAGGCCTACTGGTGCAGTAGTTAAGGCACTGGGCTAACCAAAAGATGTGTAACTTGAACCCCAGCAGATTCATGGAACAAAAGACCTGGTGAACTCCTCCCATATAAAGATAACAGTCTAAGAAACCCTAGACTGCCCTACATGGTTACTATAAATTGGAATCAGCTTGACTGAACCCAGCAACAATAATAAGATTCATTAAGAGCTGGTCTACTATTTACAGATCTAGCAGTGGTTTGCAAACTGGGCTGATAATTAAGAACAATTTACGGGAGTCTCTTAAAAATAAAATTTCCAGTTCTCACTCCAGTTCTTTGGAATCAGAATCTGGGGTCTGACCCAGAAATTTTTCTTTTTCAAGACTTCCCAGGGGTTTTTGATGAAGATTCAGAGTTCAAGACCAATGTTACTCTAATCCCAGCATTCTATTGTTAAGTGCAACTCATAAGTAGGAGCAGCTGGTGAGCTTGAACTGCACATCTTGCAGTTCGACCCAAATTTGAGGTCCAGTGCTTAGCCTACAATGCCACACTAGTACTCCCAGAGTCTACTAAAATATGTACACAGTAGGCTCGAATAAACAATATCCTGACTTTCCATTTGATGCTTTATACAATAATTTCAGCTGCTATATTTCAGTAAAATGGTACTTATTTCTTCTCTGTTGTTTATGCTCTATCAGTTATTGGTGTGTGTCCTTGTGCAATTTATTTTCTTATCTGCAAGCTAATAATGGTGGTGGAGGTGCTTTGGTTCCGAATCAGAGCGACCCTGCATAGGGTTTCCCAGGCTGTAAATCTACGGGAGAAGAAAGCCTCATCTCTCACTCAACGGCTCGGCTCGTAGTTTTGAACAGCTGATCTTGAGATTAGCAGCTCGACTTGTAACCGCTACACTAGCAGAGCTTCTTAAGCTAATAGTAGTAATACAGGTGGGGATGGAGGATGGTGTCCACCTTTTTAAGAGTTGCTGTGGGCATTAAGAAATATATCCGTTTATAATGCACTTAACACAGTGTCTGGCATGTAGTGAATGTTCGTTAACTAGCCCACTTAAAATTTAAAAAAAAAAAGTTTGCAGTTTAACTGGTAAGGGTCTACTGAACCAGTCCAATTTAAAAAGAAACAAGAAATGTACATTTAGCTTTGGAAGTCCAAAGAGACTTTTAACTCAGGGCTAAGTTTAAAGTCATGGTATCTCATATCTTTTTTCCAGTCATGATCTGCTGATGTCAAAAGTTAGTCCACTCGAAGGAGAAGGTCAAAAGTTTTGTCCGATTTTGCAATTTAGGGTGTCTCAAAATCATGCAGTTAATCCATTTCTGAATGATGACAAGAAACTGCACTCTTGGAAAGCTTATAACTGGGTGTTTCTTAGGCAAACCGAGGCTTGGATACAAAATCCGTGGCCACAAAAATGGTTCTCTCAAATTCTCCCAGCAAGAAACTGTCTTCTGTCTGTGCACCAGACAGAAGAGCAGCGTCATCAGACCTAAAGCAAACAACAGCTGGGCCCAGCTGTGCAGAATAATCTTGGTGATAACCAGGGAAGGCGTGGACCCTCTCGCCACCCAACATTCAGAGCTTCCTAGACAGTCACGAGCAACTAAGTCCTATTAAACAGCCTCCTTCCCAGGGATGAGGCTAGAAGAAAGAGACCATGGGTGACTGATAGTGCCTGTGTGGCGCCAGAGGGTTAATGACCTTCTTTGCCCTGTTCCTTCTAACATTCAAAGACCTCTAACAATCACAACACAGCTGCCGGAAGTGCATTCTCCAGCTTGCTGAGGATGCCGGGAGTTGTAGTTAAGTGGACACTTCTGTTGCACCCACTTCACCTTTTTTCATACAAAAAAACACACACGTAGGAACATTAAAAAAGGCCACTTTGTGCCCATCATGTCTAATATTCCATCTTCCTTCCAGTTGCAAATGGAAACGCTCACAGTGCTCACGAGGAATGCAGGACTACAGATCCCAGCATGCTCTGCTAAGAGACCATAACGCCCGGCCACCGTCCTAGGTACGGGCCTCTTGAATGGAGCGTCGGGCGTAAGTCGAAGCCTGGCACCGTCCGCGCGTCCAGTACCTGCTCTCGGAGCGTGAGTGCGGGGAGTGGGCCGTGCGCGTGCGCGCGTCTAGGGGACGCGAGGCGGCGCGCTGGGCGGTTGCGGGCGCGTGGTTGTTGAGGTTGGCGGCGGAGGCGCTGCGTGCCCAACGGGCCGGTAGTTGCGGGGCCTCCTGCCTAGCCGCGGGCTGCTGGCAGCCGTGGCGGCCGCCGGGGACCACAAAGGGCGGAGGAAGGCAGGGGCCGGAGGGGGCCGGTCCCGGCACGCGGAGGAACTTCAGAGTATGCCCCGAGACAACATGGCCTCCCTGATCCAACGGATCGCTCGCCAGGCGTGCCTCACCTTCCGGGGCAGCGGGGGCGGCCGCAGCGCTTCCGACCGCGGCGCGACGCCAGGCCTGGAGGCGCCGATGCCACAGGGCTTCCCGGAGAACCTGAGCAAGCTGAAGAGTCTGCTGACCCAGGTCCGCGCCGAGGACCTGAACATCGCCCCTCGCAAGGCCACGCTGCAGCCACTGCCGCCCAACCTGCCGCCCGTCACCTACATGCACATCTACGAGACGGACGGCTTCAGCCTCGGCGTGTTCCTGCTCAAAAGCGGCACATCCATCCCGCTGCACGACCACCCGGGCATGCACGGCATGCTCAAAGTGCTCTACGGCACCGTGCGCATCAGCTGCATGGACAAGCTGGAGGCCGGCAGCGGGCAACGATCACGGGCCCCTCCGCCCGAGCAGCAGTTCGAGCCTCCGCTGCAGGCCCGGGAGCGGGACGCCGCGAGGCCGGGCGTGCTGCACTCGCGGGCCGAGTACACCGAGGCCAGCGGCCCCTGCATGCTCACGCCGCACCGGGACAACTTGCACCAGATCGACGCAGTGGACGGACCCGCAGCCTTCCTGGACATCCTGGCCCCGCCCTACGACCCCGACGACGGCCGGGACTGCCACTATTACCGGGTGCTGGAGCCCGTCAGGTCCAAGGAGGCCTCCGACTCGACCTGTGACCTGCCCCGAGAGGTATGGCTCCTGGAGACCCCGCAGGCTGATGACTTCTGGTGCGAGGGGGAACCCTATCCAGGTCCCAAGGTCTTCCCTTGAACGCGCTGGCGCCCCGGAGCGGTGGCCCGAAGACGTCCCATCCCGATCTGGGCCGGGCTGCCCACGACCCACCACAAGGGCTCTCTCCCTTCCCCCCCTGCTTTGGCGTTGGATCTACTGGAATGGGCTGTAGCCGCTTCCTCGGGAGTCTCGGGAAGCGCGGGCACTTGGACTGCAGCCACCGGGCACGGTTGTGGGGGCGGCGGGGAGGCTAGGTGGTTTCCTGGCGCTGTCACTGCCATCGGGGTTTTGATTTGGGGGTGGGGGTTAAGCAGGAGAGTCTCTGAAGCGCTTCCATCCTAAAGCCATAATGAAAATCCTTTCTCTGTTCCTCACCCAAATACACGTTCAATTCATAATACACTAAATAGATTATTTTCTTCTTCGGAAATAAGTTTTTCCCAGTTAGGCCTTTTTGCCTTTTCCTTTATTGTTACGATTTTAACTTATTGACTGTGCATGAGCCCGTGGCTTGAATTGTTCAAGTCATTGGCAAAAATTCGTTTAAAGAGATAAGCTACTGTTTAAAGTTAGCTGTCTTGCCTGTCTAATTCGTTGTGAAAAATGTTTTCAGAGATCTCCAAAACATAACTATGCACGTACAGGAAAAGATTTCTTTTCTCCCTTAACAGTAGCTCCATCCGGATTGCTCCCGAAGTACCTGTATGTCTCAGTGACCGAGGTCACTTACAGCCTATCTTTCCCATCAGTCTCCAGACCTAGGAGTTGAGCAAACTTGTTTCACATTCACAGTTGATGCAAAGACTTTGTTATCCTCAAATGACTTTTTTCCCTTTTAAATAACTTTTAAGAGGCTATAGGCTAATTCTGTATTTTCTAACCAGAAGAATCGTGTTATGCTTCCATACAACTGAATGTAAAACATCCCTAACCAGCTGTTGAATTTGATATCCCTATTCTTCCAGTATTTCTTTGAAAAGTAAAGAAAAATACGATGAGGAATGTTTTGCTTCTGTCAGGAACTTTTCATGTTCCAGAGGGCTTGTGGTTCTGGCTGTGTTGTTGCTGAGTATTAGCTCAGAACCCTCAAGCACCAGGGCATGAATGCATGTTTCTTGTAACGTCATTTTCGACAGGAAGAGAGAGAAGCACCAGTGATCAAGGCTAGAAAATTGAGAATTAACTGTAGTAGTCATTCAGGCACTGACACTTGGGAGTAAACACTTCCCACTTCCTACCCTTTTCTGAATGAACAGTTGTGCTACCTGTGACCAGTGTTCAGTTTTGTCCTTTTATAGGCTGAGCAACTTCACCTTGTTTACAAATGTATTGACACCATTTGCTTCAGGCCACGGAGCACTAGTGTCTCCCTCTTTTTACTATTTGTAGGATTTCCTTTTTCACAAAACTTTTAATAAAAACAAATTGTAGAAATAAACACATGGAAATTTGCCCAGCTGTCGTCTTAAGTCCTCTTGATTAACTTGACCATGTGGCACTCGAGTTCTAAAATCTGTTCTAAAGGGAGATTGCTGTTGGTGGGAAGTGTTTGTTGACCCTGTAGGGAAACAGTATGTGCCTTTGCCTCTTTATACACACTGGGTTAGGAAGGCTCAGGGTGATGAAGGAATGTTTGTTACCCATTTGTACAGTCATATAAGCAAACTCTTGACTGATTTATTTTTTAACAAAAAGATAATGCTTATTTAAGGTGACACACCACTATTCTTGCAAACCTGACACAGGCATAGTATATGCTTACTGCCAAGCATTTCCTCCAGGGTGCTAAAATTGTTGTATTGCAGCCTCACAGTCTGATGGGCTTTAATATGCCTTGGGGCACTTTGAAGCAGTTCTTCTTGCCACTCAGCTTGAAAATAAATTCTGAATATGCAAATGATTTTCTTTAAAAAGAGTTCCCAAAATAAAATGTCAAAAAAAATTTTTTGTGGCACACTAATGAATGTGTATGATTATCAATCACATACCTAGCTTTTTAGATTTGTATTATAGCAAAAAGTTGATTAACGTAACAAAAGTTGTATTTATGTCATACAGCTTGGAGAACATTGAACTAGCCTGTGAAGAAACACACTGACTAGAGGACAAAGGGAAAATGGTTACAAATTTCATTTATTTAAAAAAAAAAAAAAAAATGTTTTGTAACGTTCTGAATTGCAAACAATTTGGAAGGGCCAAAAAATTCTGAGGTGCTTTTCAAAAGAGTAATAGTAAAAGTTGTTACAGGCTAAAACAGCAATATGATCTATTACATCAGGAAGATTGAGACTTTCGGTTCATTAATTTAATGTGAAAATAAACTGGAACTGTTTTAGTGATCAATTCAAGGAAAGAATATTCTCATTACAGAGACAAAATGTGGTGCAGAAAAGTTTTCACCTTTATGCATAAACTGTCGTCAGTCACGACTGGCTTCATATGAGGGTCCTGCATTTCCATGTATTACTGCAATATAGACTAAGACTGGGATGAAGTTATCTTCTCTTAGGAAAACTCATGAGCACAATGATAGTAATTATTTAACTTCTCTGTGAATAGCAAATGCAATAATTCCTCTCACAGGTGAGAAATTATTTAAATACTTGTCAAGCTTTTTTAATTTCCTAGTTACATGAACGACCACCTGTACCAATGAGGACAACATTGTGTACCTTCCTATTATATGAGAATTGCCAGTTCTTAACCTGATTTTGCACAGATTGAGTTTATACCCACTGCTCTGTATTAATGAAAATCGTAGCTTTATATTGCAAGTCTTGTGTATTCTGTCAAGAAGAGTGAGTTCTCTGACCTATTAACACTGTAAATCTTAACTTCTCGAAGAACTCATTAGTCCCCCTTTATGCATTGTTCCCTTGTACGTGCCTCAATCTTGGCACCTTTGAAGGACTCTGTCTACACTCATCTGTTCCAGATCTTTCTGAATCTTGTGCTCTAGTACAACTGTCCAAAGAAAAACCAGAATCTCTTGAGGGCAGGCCTCTGCCCATTGCTGTTCTACTCTAACCTGAGGGTACTGCACATCTGTCTGTCTGTCACTGCTGATCTGCAATCGAAGCCAACCATGACCACCTCCAGGGCTCTGAGGCATCTACTGTCAGAAAAGAAACTTGGTAGCAAGTACCACACAGATACTTACTCTTCAAACCCAGGGATGTTTGTGTCCTGGCCTAAAAGCATTCAATGTACTTCTGGAAAATAAAGATGTTTGAAATTGTTTATAGATAGATCTTATTTGATTATTACAGAAGGGAGAAGGAAAATAGGAATTACTATGCTTACATTTTGATTGTCAGAGGTTCATAGTCTATAGTGTAGGAGTATGATGTACTAAAAACGGTGGCCTGCATGCAGGTTTCTAAAGTTCAAGCAATAATGTAAATATAAAAATAGTGGTTTCTTTCCTTGAGATTAACCTTTGATACCTTTAGATTGAAAAATAGTATTTAATCATACTATTCTGCTACAACAGAAAGTAAGTTCCCATTATATTTAGTCTAAGGAAAACAAGGTAGTACAAGGAAACAAAAGTATTTCCTTCCTAGAATCTTAGGATTTAAATCTTTTCTCATTTTTTTTATTCCTGTAGAAGTTTTTTTGTGTATTTAATGTGACATGCCACTATCTTGCGAAACTGGAAACAAGTATAACATGTACCTATAGCTTGGACTGGCAACATTTTAAGTACTTTTGGATGCTTACCATTTTTTCTCCTAAAAAACAAGTTTATTGGACAATACATCACCACCACAGTTTCTGAAGTGTACAGAAACAATTTGCCCCAAAATTTTTAGCAGCTAGGATATGAAAATTTTAAAACCTGACATAGAAGCTGTTGAAAACCTTATACAGGTTTAATATACCTGTTTTCAAAGTGCAGTAAACAATCTCAAATTATTATTAGTCTTTAAGGAAATTATTCTCTAGAAACTACTTTTGTAATAAAAGTTCCCAGTAACTTAATGATATTCAATAAAGCATAGATATAAGAGATAAAGCAGATTTGTCTTTTTACACGTATTTCTTGAGCATGGGGGGAAAAATGAGATACCTGTGTAAAGGACTCTGAATATTTCAGGCACAGCAGAATCTGATTAAAGAGAGCGCCCTGACGTGTTGCAGTGGAGAGGTAAAAGTCACAACGAGGTTGGTCCTGAGGACTCACTGAAGGATAGTGTTCCTTATGGTCTGTTACCACTGCAGCAAGCTCAAGGTGGAAACCAACTATGTAACTCAGTTAACGTTCATCAAAATGTATTCAGTCTTACTCGTTAAAATGGCTCCTAGTTTATGGCATTCAAAACAGCTGTTTCAATCTCCTGATGGAGTTCTCTGAAGTTAAAATTTGACAAAGCAATTGTATATGTTACAAAATATGGGTACACATTTATTTTAATACAATAGAATCTTGATAGAAGTATTCTTTAAAAACATAACTGTCAAAATACGGTAGCATAGTGGTTACCAGTTGGGCTGCTAACCTCAAGGTCCAAAACTACCAGCCATTCCTCCAGAGAAAGATGAGGTTTTCAGCTCCCATAAAGATTTACAACCTCAGAAACCCTATGCAGGGTGGTGGAAGCAACTCCACGGCACACCACCACCATCAAAATACAAGATTATTTTACATAGTTCTTATCAAAATGGACCAAGCAAGCATGATAATTTGCTGACAAACTGGGAAATACGAATCTAATGGGAACAGCAGTCACCAGAAAAATCTGACACAGACGTTTGAAACCTCTAGTTAGTAGTTTTCACAAAAGATATTCTGCATCTTTGAAGTAAAGACAGAGTAAAGCAAGTATTGAAGAAAATGGCTAATTACCTCCACAGATTGGTTCTCCAGATTCTCTTGCTGGTAAGGATAAAGGTGATTTGCTGGTGTAGCTGTTACTGTCTGCTGTCTGCTGCCCTGAAATACGTACAGGCTTCCGTTAGCAGCCAAGTCTAATAGTGACGAAGGACAAACAAATGAAGTTTTCAGGTGATCTAGTTCAACAGTGGGAAGTGTGAGACATTACACCTGTGTAAGGCTCTAGAGGTCGTGGATCCAGTCGGTAAAGGCCAGGTTTTGGGGTAAAGACAACTTAGCAAAATATTAGTTATTTGCTTTGTATGGGAGCATGTGGCTCCAAAGAATAATCACTGGACTCTGAGCCACAAGTCGGCAGTTCCAACCCACCAGCCCTCAGCTGGGGAAAGATGAGGCTTTCTGCTCCCGCAAAGATATACAAGCCTTGGAAACGCTATACAGGGGTCACTGAGTTAGAACCAACTCAGTGGCAACAATTTGCTTTGTAGATGATACGTGAATAAATAACATTTTCGGTCCTTTTATTTTTTTAAAAGGAGCCCTGATAGTACCGTGGATTACGCATTGGGTTGCTAACTGCAGAATGATGGTTTAAACCTATCAGCTGCTTGGCCGGAGGAAGATGAGGCTCTCTGCTCTGGAAAGATTTCTGGTCTCAGAAAGGCCCCTAAGCAGCAATCTCCTATAGTATCGCTATGAGTCGGAATCGGCTCAGTAGTGGGTTTATATTTTTAAACCACAACAACAGGCTTGCAGTGAAATGAACCCACTAGTGCATTATTTTGCAAACCAATATTCAGTATGATGACAAGCCACATTTGCCTGTTTCACTCAGATAGTCTGAGGTTTTGATTTTTCTGTTTTTAACGTTTGTGTACACTGATTATATCTAATAGACTGGGTATTTTGATAGTCTTTAGGCCCACCAAATCGATGGTACATTAGTGATCCTACAGAATAGGGTTAATCGGTTGGGGAGTGAAGGATACAAAGAAATGAGTCCTGGGGTAATTCCTTGGCAACCCATTAACTGCAGTCACCAGCACCCCGAGAGCATTTTTTGATCTGAAGGGGTGATAGTGCTTTTCAAAAAGTTTTCTGTGGTCATAAGACTAATCCCAGAACCTGAAAGTCATTTCCAGCTTGACCATGCCACCACACTTTCCACAAAGCCACATCTCATCGGAGTTCAGTTCCAGACCTTGCTCAGGGTTCCGAAAGCAGTGGCAAATGTGCAGTCTCCGAGTGGGCACTTGTTTGTAAGTATTTACTTTCCGGAGCCCACTCAGGAACCGAGAGGCTATAGGCTGCTTGAGAGGACGGAACAATGAGTCAAAACACCGCCTCCCCATTTTTACACTAATGTCTGAGGGAAATCCCCGAGCACTAGCGTTTGATTATGAATGGAGATGGCTTTGGGGTTAGAGACTAGCAAAGAAAACTTGGAGGTCTTAGCTTGGCCAAAACCTCTTTAACCTGCTGGTGTTTAGTGCTGTTTAGTCCTACGAGCCTTCGGACAATGTGAAATTCCTACCCTGTGAGTGGCTCAATAGCACCCAGCAACGAGGCTTTTAGAAATGATTTCTGCAGCAAAAATATTGTTGAAAAGTATTTATTTACATTATAGTCATAAACCATCCATTATCTGAAATTCAGTTAGTGGTTTTGCGTTAGAATAGATTATTTATATTTCCACAGCTAATAACCAAACAAGCTCCAGTAACATTATTTACATTCTTACCTGAAATTTGACTACAAAGGTAACACTTTTAAGTCACAAAACAAAGCATACAAAAATATACTTTCTAAAAAAAATTCCAAATATTAATAGGCAGAAATATACAGCCATACTAAATCCAGGGCGTGAACTGTTTTGTGTTTTTTTTTTTTTTTTTCCCGTAATAAGGCAACCCATTTACATGCAGACACTGTAACAAACACTGTCTACATCACACAAGGCACCAAGGACACTTCCAACACAACTGCATGCATCCGAATTTCATAGAATATATGTACATTCCCCTTTAAATAAGTTAACCTCTGACTCATTTCATAAATGTTTTACTTCTTTTCCCAAAGGTTCAGAACTTGAAGAACAGTGCACTTCAAAAATACACAAAATCTGAGTGGCTATACACTGAAAAAATAGTCTCTGCATTGCTCCAACAACCCAAAAAAGGAGCAGATATTGCCAAGTCCCTGCCATCATTGCACTTCTCTGCTGAGTTGATAACACATATTGCTTAAAGGGTTGAGACGACTAGACAAGCTTTCATTCACTGCTCTACGGCCAGAGCATTCAGCTCAAAGGCCCTGCTTCCAGTAAGGTTCGGCATCCCCAAATCCATCCCAAGCCATAAAGTGCACATCAGCTTTGCTTCTTTTCTGCTGTTCCCACTTTCCAGGACCAGCATCTCCCAACCTGTATTTAAAAAAACCCCAGAACAACTTTGACTCCCAGTGTCAAAAAACCTGTAATGGGTCAAAGTAAAGTGATCGGGGAGCAAAACCTAGTCAAACAACCCTTTTCAGCAGGGTTAGACAGACTGCAGCCATCTAGGCCAGGCAACTCACCCAACCCCTTTCCTAGCCTCTCCTCTGCCTTGAGTGATAGTCAACTCAGCTACCAGAGACTAAAGGGGCCAAGTATTAAGAGGGACCTGCTTTAAGGTAGAAGGTGGAGCAGCGCTGGGCTCCACCAAGGTCCCTTGCCCAGTGGAAGGAGGGAGGGGCAAGAAAGGGTGGTAGTGTTTGTCATGGACTGGCGTGAATGAAGGGCCTGCGGGGCCTCATGGAACTGCTGTGTCCACCTGAGTCTCATCTCAAGGTGTCCTGGTCCGAGACGAGCAAGGGGCGAGTGGCCCCCCAGCAATAGTGCCACTGTTACTGCTGCACAGAGCTCCCCCGGCCTGTGTGCCCCCAGCACAGGCCGTGGATGAAGCCTGCACTGAGGAGGATGGGGCACTGCTCTTCCGCTCCTTCTGTCTCAGGTGGATCTTGGTGTGGCGCTTCCTCTCATCACTCCGGGCAAACTTTCGGCCACAGTAGTCACAGGCAAAGGGCTTCTCGCCAGTGTGAGTGCGGATGTGGGTGGTGAGGTGGTCACTCCGACTGAAGTTGCGCATGCAAATCCGACATTGGAAGGGTTTGTGGCCAGTGTGAATTCGGATGTGCCGTGTCAGCTCGTCGGAGCGGGAGAATCTTCGGTCACATCCTTCTGCTGGGCATGGGTAGGGCCTCTCATGCACTGGGGTCTTGCTGGGCCTGTTTGGGTACTTGCGAGGCCTCAGAATGGGTCGAAGTGGCAGGTGGTGTGGGTTATAGGCAGACGCAGCCACTGCTGCTGAGCTGCTTCCAGCCAGCCGGGGTCCCTCACTGCCTCCAGTGCCCACTGGCCCTGTGGCCCCAGCACTAGGACCCCCCAGGGTAAAGTTGCGGATGGTGGAGAGTGGGGTAAGTGGAGGGGGGACTCGAAGAGAATCAAGGGGACAGGGAAAGGGCTTTCGGTCTGGGCCAGCTGCACCATGTAGGTCTCTCTGGCACTGAGGTGGGAAAAATCCAGGGTAGTCTGGGATCATGGGGAAGAGCCCCGGGTCCGTGGCTGGTTTGGGGGATGGGTAGGAAGGAGGTGGAGGGTAGGCCAGAGAAGAGGAGGAGGCAGAGGTGGTGGCTGCTGACAGGAAGGCCGAGGGGTCCTGGTACAGATCTCCGGCACAGCCAGAATACGGAGGCGGCGGTGGTGGAGGCGAGTAGAGGTGGTCCAGGTCGGGCTGGTTCTGAGACATGGTACACACACCCAGGGGTCCCGTGGCCAGTGGGTTGGGAGAGGCAGAGGTGACGCTGGACGAGGCTGTGGTTGAAGCAGGGGAGGTGACCCCTTGCAGGATACCTGCACTCACGATGTTGATGATACCTTCTGGGTAACAGCTGGTGCCAGAGTACTGGGGGTCAATGGAGAACTTGCCCATGTAAGTGAAGGTTTGGTTTCTAGGTGCAGAGACGGGAGCAAAGCTGCTGGGATATGGGAGATCCAAGGACCTCTTCTCTCCAGTCATGTCAATGTTGAGCATGCCATCTGGGGAGGAAAAAGGCAGAATGGAGGTGGACAAATGAGAATACTAGCCAACAACTTCCTTCATACTGCCTTCCACAAGGGTCCCTTCCCAAGGCCCAGAGCCCCAGCACTGCAGAGATAGGGCAGAGTTCAACAGGTGGGAAAGGGAATTCTTGAGGCAGATAAGAGGAGGCTGCTAGCCCAATATCCCACTGTGACAGCTAGTGACAGTTTGGAACTCAATAACTACCTCCAGGAAAGCAGAATGAGCTTCCCCTACACACACACACACACACAGAGCCATCTGTAGCTCTAGTCCCCATTAAAAACACCCAATAATAGCAACAATATTAAAAATTCCCCATATGCCTGGAACTTCATTCCCTTTCTTTTTGCCTGAGGTGTCCTATGATTGGTGCTTCTAGACAGACACCACCTAAAGAACTGACTGATCCTAGCCAGTGCGGCGAAGGTGCCAGCATGAGAGGGAAACCCTGCAAACGAGGTTGGTGATTTCCCGGCTGCTCCCCATTTTCTGTGGCTTCCCTCCCTTCCTCACCCTCTGTGCATCAACTGATGGCTGTTGGCCAGAGACCCGGCTGCGGGGGCCGGATCTATAGGTTTCCCTTCCCTCCCAACCTTCCTAGTATAGAACGCCACCCGCGTGTCCCCGCCCCAGCCCAAGGCTAGTGTCGGGGCTTTGAGGAAGGCGCGGGGGCTGCAGAAGACTTTCCCCAGCATCGCCAAGGAAACCCGCGGCGCCTGTGCCCCCGCGGGCCTCCCTCAGCAACCCGGGGGCTGCTTCCCGCTGCCGTCCGCCCTCCTCCACCTTCCCCTGGCTTTTCCCGGCCGCAGCCACCATTCGCTAATCCCCTCAACTTCACCGGCGGTGCACAGGTGAGGGCGCACGCTCAGAGACTGCCCCCAAATCGGCTTTGCACTACTACTCAGTTCTCCAAACACACTGCCCTCCTCTCCAGAGCCCCGAACTTTCCCCGTGACTTTGCCCCAACCCAGGAAAAGTGATTCCGGCCGAGGGACTCGCTTAAGTCCCAAAGCCCAGTAGTGCGGTGCCTTTTCCACCCATAACCCTGCGTTTAGCGCGCCTGACTGGCTGGCTGGCCACCTAGCGCATCCGCCGGGGCCCCGGTCCCTGCGCCCCGCGGGTTTTTCGTGCATCCCCTTTCGATCTTTCGAGCTGGCTCTATTAACTGGGTCCACCTCGTGCTCAACCCTCTCTTCCAAAACCCAAATACACAAAGTACTCCACCCACCACCTGCGAGCTCCTCGATTCCTCGTCCGCAAAGTGGGGCACGAGGCTTACCTCCAGCCACTCCGTTCATCTGGTCAAAAGGGCCTCCCAGTTCGGCATTAGGGAAGATGGTCACCGACGTGGCGGCAAGGTCCTCCACCGGATAGATGTTGTCAGACAGCTGGTGCACAAAACCACTGAGAGTTACTGGAATTTTGTCTACTGCCTTGGCGGTCATCATTTGCTCCTCGCACAACCTGGAGACCCAACTCCCTCGCTACCTGGAGTGTCAGAGAAGCCGTTTTGGAGAGTTGAACTGAGCCTGGTTTGGTATCTCCTTTTGCCCTCCACACTTAAAAACAGCCACCCAGAAGAAGGGAAAAAAAATTTAAATTCAACAGAAAAAACAAAATAAAACAAAAAACCTAGCAAATAAGTTATTTTTGGTGTTTGTTTGTTTGTTTAAAATAAAAGGAAAAATGGCTATTTGCCGCCGACTCCTGTCTGTGTTCCGGCTGTTGGAAAGCCAGGAGTTTCTGGTGTAGTGTTATTATAACAGTCACTGTGTCCCCTCGCCGAGCTATTAATCAATTGCTGCTCTCTCAGTAAGACGGAAAGTCTTGCTCTAAGTATTTATGGGCAGGTCTTGAATACCCGTGACGTCGCTGCCCATATATGGACTGAGGAACAGGGCTGGGCCAGGCAGCTTTTGCCGTCACATGGCCGATTGGCATACGGGCTTGGCAGGCGGGCTCCGCCAGGCTCCTGTCTCGCGGTTCGCAGACCTTGGAGACCCGCGGGGACCCAGGGCACGCGGCCCAAGTCGCAACCCAGATCTGGGGCGCAGGGTCCAAGGGGGAAGGGTCTCACCACAGACCCCTTTCCGGCGGCTGCAGGAGTGCAAGTGGGTAGGGGCTGCGGCGTAGCCTCCCAGAGAAAGGAGGAATTCCGGTTTCCCGGGACTTTCCAAAAAAGGCGAAGATCCGGTGCCGGTGGCTCCGCCTTTCCAGCCCTTGTTTGGAGCCATTCCGGAAAATTAAACTTCGGAAAGAAACCGAGCGAAGCCGAGACACTACAGTCAAACCCCTACTCACTTTCTTGGCAGCTCAAAACCGCAAGCAAAAGGAGACAGCGAGCGAGCGAGCGAGCGAGCGAAAGAAAAGAAGAAGAAGAAGAAGAAAAAAAAAAAGCTGCATGCATTCACGGAAGCTGACAGCTTTTTTCTGAATTACTTGGTGGAAAGAAGTGACTGGTGATAAGAGTGAATGCGGTATTGCTTTTTTGGAAAGTCTGTTCTATTTATACAGGAACGAAAACGGAACAGGTTTTGAGTTGTTTGTTTATTTAAGTATTTTGGGCACCTTGGGGCTGAAGAGTAGGCCCTAAGAGACGCAGAATAACTGCAGGGAGCTTCGAGAGAAATCCTCCGCTAAGAAACCCCGACCCTCTGCCCGCGCGCTCCCCGCCCCCTGTCAGCTGCTGCGCTGAGCGGGCGCGCTTCCCAGCGCGTCTGGGCGGTCGGCTGCGTGGGGACGTCCAGATGGAGTCTTGGACACTCACCCTGCCCGCCACACACACACAAACATGCGCTCTCCACTTCCGCTACACACACTCCCACCCCCGCTGCCCTCTTCACACACCCACTCGCACACCTTACGCTATCCTTGCTGTCACTGCGCACCCGTGAGCCTGCCTCCCAGCCACCCCTCCAAGAGTACCCAGGTAGCCGACCGGACATTTCACACACTGGATGTCGGAAGCCAAGCAAAATCACCCTTCCTCACCTTCACTGCTTGACCGGATAACCACGGCACTCCTCGCAGAGAGTTCACACTCCTGGGATGTGCCCTGCCGGTACTCTAGCCCTACTTTGGGGAAATTCTCTTTCACCCAGAGTCACTTCGGCCAGCTCAGCAAGGTCTCACACATTATCGCTAAAGCCAGTTTACACCATCACCTTACACGCATTTCCTTCTACAGGTAAAGAACCTAACCCCAGAGAAAACCTTTCAGTTACGTTCCCAAAACAATTTTTTAAAACTTTTCAGTGGTTCAGATACTGGCGGATGCATACACGGCTCCTACCTCCCGACGCGCCCCAGCTTGCACTGGGGGTGCTCTGGGTCTGGTCGACGCCCCAAGAGAGGCTAGTCCAGGTTCCCCAAGCGGGGCGCGCCTCCTCCTGCCTGGCCTATGGTCGTTTGTGCAGGCTGCAAATTGCCTGGGCCCTTTCACCCTCCAAATCTGCGGAGGCCAGGGATGCAGCGCCCATTCCAGTCTGTCCTTTCCTCGCTCCGACCCCGAACGGCCCCAGTCTGCCAGTGGGCAGCGAGAGCGGCGGCGGCGCCACTCAGTGGAGGGAGCGCGGCGCTGCAGGCGGCTCTCTCCTACCGCTCACCTGCCAACGCTGGCCTAGCGCTCTGTGGTCAGGACTCCAGGGGCGTCCCGGCGCGGCTTCCTTTCCTCCACCCCAACATCGCCTTTCTCCCTGCGAGCCGAAAAGCCTGTTCGCCACAACTAGCCTTCTCCCTTACTTCAAATAAGCAGAGCAAATTGGAAAAGTTTCTCCCTCACGTTGCGCGCTATTTCCATTTAGGAAATAAAAGGAAAAGGGCAGGAAAACTAAGTAGCATACTTGTAGGCACCCAACCCTAGCAAGGTGAAAAGTCTGTTTCTTAAAAAAAAAAAAAAGGAGAACGAAAAGAAAGCCGCGGTCTTACCACGTGCGTCCGCTCGCTCCATCTGCGCTCTGGTCGGCCCGGCTGCCCTCGAGCGGGCCACGGGCAAGACGAAGCCTCGGAGAACAGCCCGACTCGCATCTCCAGCCCTGAATCCGAAAGAAAGAGGGAAATGCGGAATTATGCAAATGTAGGTCATTAGTGGGCCTCGGGTTACGGCTTGGTCGACCCCCCCCCTCCCCAAGTAAGGCACCCACCGGCAGCGAGTGCGGGCGCAACGACTGCTAGTGCTTCACTTCTTTCCTCGCACGTGGGTGGGCGTGCGGGCGGGGTGCTGGGTGCCGCCCAGCGCGGTTGCTGTGGTCAACCGGGCCACTCCTGCCTCGAGGGGGAGCTCCCGGGTGCCCTGCCGAGCAGGGCGCAGAGGGCAAGATGAGGCCAAGGGAGGCCAGGGCAAAGGAGAACCTCAGGATCTGCGGCTGCCAAGGGTCCGGGAGGAGGAGGCCCAGTGGCGGGAATACGGAGAGGGGGGGCGGGCTTACCCAGACCATCTCCAAAGCTTGTTAGAGTAAATGGGAGTGACTGAACTTCAGGAATTCTTCGGAGCTTTCAACGACTCACACTTCTCCCAACAACTGCGCTCTGTCAAGCCCCGTGGTGTGCCAGGGATGGGGTCCAGACAGGGGTAACTGGCAACTACCAGAGACAGTGCGGACTCCCGGAAGAGGCCTTACCTGAACCTCTGCTGCAAACGGGTCAGTAGATACTTTCTGTAACTTTTTTTTTTTTTTCTTAAGAGTAAAAAAAACAAACCATGTTTTAAGTAAAAGCATAAAGCCCCATTGCCTTCACATCAAGTAGATTTCCTAGTGAGCTTATTGTTGTTGTTGTTAAGTGCCGTCGAGTCGGTTCCGACCCATAGCGACCCTGTACAGGGTTTCCGAGGCTGTAAATCTTTACGGGAGCAGAACGCCTCATCTTTCTCCGGCGGAGCCACTGGTAGTTTCGAACTGTTGGCCTTAAGGTTCGCAGCCCGATTCGTAACCACTACGCTACGGAGTAAAACTGCCCCATAGAGTTTTCAAGGCTGTAAATCTTAATGGAAACAGTCAGCCCTGGTGGTCCAGCGGCACATGTTGGGCTACTAACTATAAAGTCAGTAGTGGGAGTTCACCAACTGCTTCAAGCGAGAAAGATGAGACTTTCTGCTCTTGTAAAGATTGACAACCTCAGAAACACTATGCGGGGTCGCTCTGAGTCGGAATCGACTCGAAGACACACAGCAGCAACAATAGAGCCCCTTTCTCTTTAAGTTAAGTGCTGCGGAGATGGTTCCGACTCATAGAGACCCTGTATAAGGTTTCTGAGGAACGGCTGGTGGGTTCGAACCACCGGCCTTACGGTTAACAGTTCAGTGCTTATCCTGTGGTGCCACACCAGGACTCTCTCTTAGATGCTGCTTTGTCAATCCAGCTAGCCTATGGAGAGGAAACAAGTTCAGAAAGCTGAAGTGTGACTTGTCTGGTTAAGTGGTGGTGTCCAAACTTGCAATGGGATCTTCCACCTCCAAATGTAGTGCTCTGGTGGCTACACCAGGAAAGCCCAACTCAGGAAACTGAGCAGAGTTCTTTGAGGATTGGAAGCCCTCTAGGAAAGAAATAGATCACCTTTGCCAGTGTAATCTCCTTTCTTGTACTTTTCTGAGGAGAGGAAAGCTTAGATCAGAGCTTCCTACAAGGAAGGAAGGTCTATGCTGAACATCCAGCTTTCAAGTACGAAGAGACCATCTGAGTTCTTGGGCTCTAATGGTTAGTCATCTCAATAGCACAAAAGCAGCATGCCAACAGGCTCTGTAAGAAGCTAAGCCAGCCCCCACACCACCTTGGAAGGAAGAAGAGGACAGAGAAGAAAGAGTTAGGAACAACAACAAATTGTCAGTGTGTTTATAGAGTAAGATACTGTGTTGGGGAGAGAGGGAAGGAGAAAATGGAGACACTGGCAGTGAATACAAGGAGGCTACCATGGTCCCTCCCTTCAAGGCACTTGCAGCTGTTATGATTAAAGATGCAATAAATAAATAAAATGTTATCAAAATGCCCAAGTAGATGAGATATTTAAGATTGTTTCAGGGTAATTAAAAGAGTAGTAAATGGATGCCAGATTCCATTTTTGTTGTACGAGCTCCCCAAAAGTAGGATGTTGTTATTGTTTTTAAGTGCCATCAATTCAGTTCCAACTCATAGCAACACTATATAGGGTTTCTGAGGAGCGACTGGTGAATTTAAACCACCGACCTTGCAGTTCAAACCAGCCTGAGCATCCTGGCTGCCTCAGAGTCAGCTTTATTTTTCAGACTTGCAGTTCTCAGTCGCAATGTGGTGGGCATCCATGAAACATGTCACAAGTAATCTGTTAACATTTTCATTGTGATGGGTTTAAAACCATTTTGAGCATCATTATAGGCTACTCCTGTGATAATGCTTTTTCACACACTTCATTCTAATCCTGCTACTGGAGTCTTTCTTGAATTGCTGGAATTATTGGAATTGCCCTTAGCTCTGAGCACACACAGACTGTAGGTCCTAAACACGAACGGCACAGGTTGTATGTATCCCAGGAAAATCAGGCCAATGCCAACTCTGTCATCCACTCAAGTCTTTCTTTAAAGGCTTGCGTCTTGAGAAAAGTGA